TTTTATACCTTCAGTTATTTTGTATGTGTCTTATAATGTGAACCTGGCATCTCTAGGCTAGAAAACATGCCTGAGGGACACATTGCTGTATAAAGCTCTTAGAATGAATTATACTATATTCGATGGACTGCAGAAAAAAAGGGTCATGGTACAATTTTAGTTAAGAATTCGCTAAGTTGATGGCTGATAGTCACCTCAATGGAAGCTCTTTATTTCTTTCCCCAAGCAAAATTTGAAAAACAAATCTTGACTTAAAACTAGGAAACCTAGTTTTCTATGTGTAGGGTCCAGTGCAGAGCATGATTCTGGGAGTTGGATGCTCCTGGATTTGAATCTCTGCTCAGTCACTTACTGGTTATGTAACTGAGCAATTTACATACTATGTTTAAGTTTGAGTTTTTTCATCTATAAAGTTGGGAATTATAAAAATACTTATTTGTGAGAGCTGGAGTTCAACAGGACTGTCTGGTTTTTCCAGGTCTCACAAGTTTTCTGCCTAAGTGAGAAGTCTTACAACTTTTGTGATGGCTTGTTTTAGTAGAAAATATAGGTTTCCATCTTACATAGGTTCTGTCTTTCACAGGCTTTACTATATGTGTAAAATCTCCACACTCATAAGTTAACAGGTATATCATACTTTGTTCAAACATAGTAATGTTATTAAAATAAAAAGAAAAATTAAGTTCATTTGAGTCTTAAATACATCAGATTATATGCTTTAGTCTTGAGAACCCACCCCTACATGCTTAGTTAGCCCTGCGTAACCCTGTGAATTCCAGAGTGTAACCAACGAACCTGCCCTTAAGATGTAAGACACACGGCCTGCCATAGGATGCTGAAACATATACTTCATATAGTCTATCATTCACCTATTTTTCTGCTCTTTCCCTGCTGATAACTTGTTTCTTTTGAGCCATTTTCTCCCAGGAAAGTATCCCACCACAGCAAATGAGTATTGATTATAACCAGATCTGGTCTTCCAAGTCCACACAGAAAGGATAGTTGCAACCTACAGTTGACCCTGGAACAAAAGAATTTTGGTCAAGTAATAAAAAGTTACTGGAAAGACGTCACCAGACCAACTTGGGGAAAATTTAGGAGGACTCTGACAGCTACTTCTAGGCCAAGAATGGTAACCCACCCCAGTGCATATTCATGACCATTCCTTGAAAATCTGCTCACAAAAATTGAAGAGGAATGGTATCACATTCCTCTTACTATCTAAAGAGCATCTCAAAAAGAACATTTCAAGATCTATCTTGAAGTACAATGCTGTCAGTGACAGGATCATTTCCATATATCTACAGGGAAGACCAGTTAATATGACTATTATTCAAATTTATGTATCAACCAGTAAGTCAAAGATAAAGATATTGAAAAACTCTGCAATCTGTAATTTATCAAATATGCAGGCATGATGCACTGGCAATTACTGGTGACTGGAATGAGAAAGGAAGTTGGAAACAAAGGAAGTATCTGTACTTGAAAAATATGACTTTGGTGATAGAAATGATGCTGGAGATTGCATGACAGAAATTTGTAAGACCAATGGCTTAAGCATTGAAAATACCTTTCTCCAACAACATAAAGGGTGACCACACACATGGACCTTGACAAGTGGAATAGACAGCTATCCCATCTACTTCATCTGTGGAAAGAGAGAAGCTCAGTATCATCAGTCAGAGCAAGGATATGGCCAACTGTGGAACAGACCATCAATTGCTCATATGCAAGTTCAAGTGATGCTGAAGAAAGTTAAAGCAAGTCTTTGTTGTTATTGTTGTTAAGTGCTGTTGAGTCAGTTCCAACTCATAACAACCCTGTATAGGGTTTCCGAGGAGCTGGTGAACTTGGAACTACTGACCTTGTAGTTCAAACCAACCTTGTAGTCACAACCTTGAGTACATCCCATGGTGACAGTTCAGGTTTTGTGTCAATTGAACTGGGCCAGGATTCTCAGTGGTTTGGCAGGTAAAACAAAGTAATCTCTCATGATGAGCTCTGCTATGCTGTGGTTGCTAAGTGCCGTGGAGTCGGGTCCGACTCATAACAACCCTGAACAGGGTTTCCGAGGCTGTATATCTTTACGGGAGCAGAAAGCCTCATCTTGAGCTCTGCTATAGCAGCCAATTTATCCATTGAAAGGAGGTTTCCTCGGGGCTGTGGCCTGTTCTAAGATAGTGAACATTTGGGCAAAACTTTCTGGGTTTGAATTCTGCATGTAGGTTATCATGTGACCTCCAGTTTTTGGACTTGAGCTAGTGACCTGTTCTATTGTCTGCTGGTCCTAGGAGTCATCAGTAGCCATCCTTTTTACCTGCCTGACCTGCCTGCCAGCTGATCTTGGTTCATCAGCCCTACAGCTATGTGAGTCAAAAGCCTCAGCCTGCCATCTGACCAATGGACTTGGGACTTGCCCACCTCTACAACTGTGTGAACAGTTTATGTTTTTATCTTCTGATATAAATATATAAGCATCACTGTTTTTGCTTCTCTAGAGAACACAGTCTACCATTTCAAGAATAGATTTGAATCATGTAACACTTCATTAAACTGAAGATCAGATGAGTTGTGGAATGATGTCAAGAACATCATACACGAAGAAAGCAAAAGTTTGTAAAAAAGACAGAAAAGAAAGAACTGACCAACATGTATGTCGCAGGAAATTGAAACTTGCACTTACTATGCCAAGACATTCTACTGTGTGGATCATAATAAACGATGGATAATACTGTGAAGAGTGGCACGTGTGCTCATGTGGAACCTCTGTGTAGACCAAGAGGTAGTCCTTAGAACAGAAACAGGGCATACTGAGTGGTTTACAATCAGGAAAGGTATTGTCAGGGTTGTACCCTTTCACCATACTTCTGTAATCTGTATGCTGAACAGATAATCCGAGAAACTGGATTATATGAACTCTGGAGGAAGGTTCATTAATAACCTACGATAAGCAGATGATACATCCTTGATTATTGAAAGCCAGAAGCACTTACTGATGAAGGCCAAAGACTAGAGCCTTCAGTATGAATTTCACCTCAACATAAACAAGTCTTCACAAATGGACCAGTAAACAATATCAGGATAAAGGGAGAAACGATTGAAGTAATCAAGGATTTCCTTTTACTTGGAGCCACACTAAATATCCACTGAAGCAGCTGGGAATGACTTTACTGCATTGGGCAAATCTGCTAAAGTCCTCCTTAAGGTGTTTAAGAACAAAGTGAGGACTAAGGTGGGTCTGCCCCAAGCTATGGTATTTTCAATCACCTCATATGCATTGGAAAGCTGGATAATAAATAAGGAAGACTGAATAAGAATTGGTGCATCTGAATTATGGTGTTGGCAAAGAATATTGCCAGAAGAAGGAACAAATCTGTTTTGCAAGTACACTAGAATGTTTCTTAGAAGTGAGATGGTGAGGCTGCCTCAGGGCTTTGGACATGTTATCAGGTGGGAAAAGTTCCTGGAGAAGGACATCAGCATCATGTTTGGTCCAGGTCAATGAGAAAAAGGAAGACCCTCAGTGGCTGGAGCAGTGGGCTCAAACATAGGAAAGACTGTGAGGATGGTATAGGATCAGGCTGGCTGTGTTGTACTTTAAGACTTGGAACCGATTTTCTGGCCCCTCACAACCACCATTTATGGTCAAGCAAACAATTCTACAACATGTGTTGTGCAAGGCTTTCTTTTCAAGAATAACAGGATTTGTACTACCTACATGCTGCCGTGTTGCAGCTCTGGAATACAATCAGATTCCTGGTCTTACACATAACAAGTCTGCACCTACCCTCACCCACCTTAGTAAGAAAGGCGAAGAAAACACATGGTGAACCTCACTAAAAGCTCCCTGGCAAATTGCCATCTTCAGCTTGTAACGTAAGTCAGCTTGGCCTCCTTCTAGTCTCCTTTACACACTCAGGCTAAATGGTTCCTTTCAATCAACTCTAACGGGACTGCTAGCTAGTTTCCCAGCAGCTCCGAGTCCGGGGTACTGCGCCGGAAGGTGGCAGCGGTGGCGCGCATTGGGGTGCGCACCAGGGCGGGGGCTGCGAGCTGCGCGCAGCACGGTGGGTGGGCGGTCTCTGCGCGCTTCCCTTTGTTCTGGCCCATTGTGTGCCGGGCCCTCCTCTTGCTTCTCAGCACCCTGTGGTGGTGTGTATGTGATTGACCCCCCCGCCCCCCGCTCCCGATTAATTTTTTTCCGCAAATTAGGCTCCTTGGCAGTGCCTTTCCCTCGCGGTTCCTCGCATGTGCAAGGAGGCAGAGCGGAAAGTGTAGGTTTCCGCGGCTCTCCCGCTCCACTCCTCCAGGAGGCATCCTAGCCCTGCACTCAGGACGTTCACCTCCTGACCGCGCCAACGTCTGGAGGGCGACACGCCACCGCCGCCCCTCCGAGCGGCGCAGGGTCCCGCAGCCGGAGGCTCAGCTGACGACGAGAGTGCGGGTCGGAGCCGGCGCGCAGCCCGAGCCCGAGCCCGAGCTTGCAGCTTCGGCGTCCGGGGAACCGGCACACTATAGCCGAGCCCTCCCCGTCCCAGAGCTCGCTCGCCCCGACCGTCGCGCGGCGGCCTCGGCCCCTTTATATAGCCCTCTAAAAATAGCTCGCCTCGCACCGCCTTGTAAGGCAGCAGGGAGATCCACAGCTCGCCAATAGATGCTCAGTGCCAGTACCAAGCCCCGCCCCAGGTCCTCCTCCACTCTTTTCATTGGGCCTCAGTGACTTCATGAGCCCCCTGTTTACCTTACATGGTCACACGCGGCCTAATGGACGCCCTCCTCCGAGATCCCACGGCTGCGCAGAGAGCCCGGCAGAGGGAGGGAGTTTGGGGAGGGGGAAGAGCAGGAGGAGGAGAAAAGGGGGGCGGGGAGGAGACTACAAACTAGCGAGGATGGGGTAGGGGGGGGGGAGGGAAAGAAGGGTGGGGGGAGAAGCGATCGCGAGAAAAAAAAAAAAATGCAACCTCCCAAAATAAAGAGCAAAGATTGCATTAGGAGCGAACAGCGCTGCAGAAATAGATGGCAGCTTCGTGTCAGTGAGTTTGCATCCCCCTTCCTGATCCACAAGCTGGAGTGATTGGAGCCCTGGCAGGGGACTGTTACTCCCGTGGAGAAGTCCCCTTTTCCTGGCAGCCGTCTGCACTGTACACGCCGGACTCCTCTCTCCATCCACCCCGCTCAGTCTCTTCTCTCTCACCTCCTCTCTCCCTCTCTCCTGCATTGATTTTCCCCCCTTTTTAGTTGACTGAAACAAAACAAAACAAAAGGGCCACTGGATGTCTGCCTTCTTGGGGGGTGAGCCAGACAGACTGACAAACAAACAGACCCAACTGTGTTCGGGGGAGGGTTTCTCCTCCCGTTTTGCCCGGCAGCAGCAGCATGGACGTGTTGGCTAGTTATAGTATATTCCAGGAGCTACAACTTGTCCACGACACCGGCTACTTCTCAGCTTTGCCATCCCTGGAGGAGACCTGGCAGCAGGTGAATGATTTAAATTACTTGTGTAAATCGTGTGGTGGCGGCGGAGACGCAGGGGCTGCGTTAGTGTGGGCTTTGGGTGGTTTTTCTTTTTTTTAAATTTTTTTTCCCTTTTCGTTTTATTTATTTTTTTTCCTATTTGGCTGTTTGTTGTTGAGAATGTTTTCGGAAACAGTCATATGCGCTTACCTCTCCTAGTCCCTTAATGTGCCCAGCTGAGCAGCGAGCTGAGCTGCATGCATTCACTCACCAAACACATCCTTGCGCACACGCTGTGGGCGCACTGTACCCCAGCAGAGAGCTACCTAACTTCTGGGGTTCGGAGGAGCTGGGTGGGAAGCTGGTTCGGGGCTTTTCGAGCGATCCCTGCCAGGAAACCACGTCCCTGCGTCCAAGAGCTCTACCTACGTGGTACCTGAAATCAGGTTCTTTTTTTCAAGTGGTGCTGACGACTGTCAGAGGTGAGGGATGCTGGAACAAAATGGAATTTCCCCAGTAATTAACGAGTGTCGTGAAAGAATAGGGGTTTGATTTTGAGATTGGAAGATGGGCAGAAGGAAAAAGAGACCAGTGACAAAAGATACCCAAAGAAATCTACAAGGAGGTCAGGAAGGGGCATCTAGCATAGACTGACAATGCATTATAGGTTTCGCCACTTAAACGCCTCCAGGAAGAAAACACTCAGTGTGTGTGTCCTTGTTTCTCTTTTTGTTTGGGGTCCCTCTCCAATGAAACAGCACAGACTTCCGCAAAGGAGCGGTGTGTGCTACGATGCTTCTGATTTTGTCCTTAGGAGACTAGTTAAGAAACTTAAGCTGCTGAAAGGTACCGACATCAAGTTGGCTAGACATGCTAACAAGAGCGAAGCAGGGTTGACAAGTTCCCTGGGCTTTGTGAAGTGGAATACAGCAAGTGCTGGTCGGTGAAAGTGCTTGGTCTGCTGCAGAAACAGTGGTTTTCTCAACAGCAATTAGGAGCTGCTGAGGGGACATTCAGCAGGAAAGATGGTGAGGGGCAGGAAACACAGGTTTTCTTTAAAAATTCGACCATGTGCACCATAGAAAGTTCAAGAAGATGGTCTGGATTTACACATCAGAAGTGTGAACGTGTAGAGTTCCATCCTGAGAAACACAACCATTGCCCTTGGGGAGGGCTGTTCCAGGCTTGGTGTGTGGTTGCTCCTGTAACTTCTCGGCTTGTGACAGCAGCTTGTTAAGGCTAATGAACGGCTGAATTTCCTCTGCCAGAATCCAAAGCAGGATTTGCCAGCTTGAGGCTGGGATGTAACAGTTGCTGCTCTAAGCATGCGAGGTTGGACCTCTTTCAGTGCAAGGAGCTGAGTGGCAGATGCAGCATGTTCTCTTACTAAATCTTTGTTACCAGTTGTTTGTTATTCCCTTGATTTGAGGCTTCTCGTTTTCCTCAAGGAATCGGCCTCTGGTGTCTGTGTGTCCGCACATGCATTCCTTTCCAAGGATGCTGACAGATACTCTGGACTTTGTCTCTGGAATACACACACAGAGTCCACACATTTCTAGCACAAAGCATTTCTTCAGCGCCTCCTTTCCCTCATTCTTAAGCTGACTATCATAAAGGGATCTCACTAGGTGTCTGTCCACTTTTTATTTCGCAGGCTAATTAAACCAAACTACTGCCAGAATTTCATCTGCTGGAATAGCCTTCATTTCACACTCTCAGCCCACTGATGTTGGTGTTGAAGCGGGTACATTTTAACAACTGTCTAGACAGGTTAGGGAAGGGAATCTGTTGATTTAGTCAACCTGCCTAAGGCAGCCCCTGTTTGTGACTAACTGTTGCAGCAGTTTTGGAAGGAAGAAAGTTGGCTTTATTGGGTACAACGTTCTCTCCTGATGAATCACACAACTTTGTTTTGGTTCATGTGTTCACAGTAGTAAAGCCTGCTTTGGGGGATATACCTCTCCAGAGGAAACCTGCTTTTCTAGCTCTAGCTCCATCATCCAGAAGAAACTCTAGATCTAGTAAAAGATGGCATCTGTGGTTTGACAATTAGAGAATGTGTTTGAGCTATTGTTTTCTCAGAAGGCTTCTCTGCTTTTCCTTCTCCCCTCCCCCTTCCTCCTCACCCTCTTCAAGGAACCTCTAGCTTAGTTTCTGTCTGCAGGCTCCATCCCCCCCTCCCTTACCACTCCAACTGCCAGCCAGCCTCACCTTAAACCCCTTAGCCAAGCTATTTCAGAGTCATGCTCATTGTTGGTACTGAAACATAACTTATGGAGAGGCACTTGTTAAATAAGAGAACACTGCAAAGAGCTTTTTGCTTTGGTCTCTAGTCACAACTGCCCTAAATAAAGTTGACCAAGAGCCTCAGTTCACAGGGATGAGCAGACCTCCAGCCTCTATGTCTTCCTCCTTCCCTTCTCCCTACACTGTTCCTGCTTCTGAGTGGAACAAGGAGCTTGTGGTAATTATTTGCAACTGTTCATTCAAATCAGCCATTAGATGGTGAAATTTTGAAACTTCTTTGCTCAAAACAACTCAAGAAGGTTGCTACAAAGAACCCCAGGCAAGAGGAAGCTTCCAATGCTCTGTGGTAATTCAATTTTAGAGGTCAAATGGGGAGCAATTATTAGATGTTCTTTCTTAAAGTCAACGAGATACCTGACCTTAAAGAGATGAGCAAAATAAGAAGATCTCAATAATCTGATTGGGTTTCTAGAGAAAGAGTAGCTTCTACGACAAACCCAAGAATATTTGTGCATTTGAAAACTGAGGATGGACTCCAAAGATTTGGGGATTTTATTTTGAACCTGTGCTTTGGGACAGTTGTCCTGCTTAATAATAGTCACTGAGCCTGAGTGATGGTGCGCATGGCTTGGGGGATCATCGTTTTGACATTGGGTTTTCAGGCAATAATGTCTTAGTCCCATACAGCTCCGACTCTGAAAATCATTGCCCGTATAATTTTAAAACTCAGATGGACATCCTGCATTAACAGCTCTCCATTCCCGAGCTCTGAATGCATACTTAAGCACTTGGCCCAAGTAACATCATCGCTGCCTGTCATATAACTGTAAATTACACTGTGCTTATGTGGTCTATTATTTTATGGAATTCAGCTGACGCACAACTCTTAAGGCTACCAGCCTTAAGCTCTTTGGAAACTTGCAGGAACATTTCCAAGAGCTAGTTGAACCAAAGCAGGAAAAAGTCAAGGGTAGGACAGAAGCTGGAGTAGCTCATACGGTAACACTTGATGATAGAGAAAGGGAAATCCATTCATCCCTTGATGATGAAGAAAGAGAAACCCACTCATGACTTTGGTTGCCAATCACTGGTTTTCCATGGCCCTTTGCTAACTTTAAAGAAGAAGAAATGACTTGCAGAGTTCTTCCAGAACTTTTAAAGATTTTTAGAATTGTGATATATCCTTTTATGTAGTCTACTCCATCATGAATGTAGGTCAGCTAATGATATACTAAATCTTATTTTGACTTAGCTTTGCTTCCTGGTATTGAAAAGCATGGTGTACTTACTTGAAAACTCTTAGGGAATTATGGTTATTGTTAATGCTGATTCATAATTGGCAGATGGGGTCAGTTTCAGGCCTCCTTTATGTGAGGAGAAAATTTTCCACTGCTACTGGAAACAAATAAATAAATCATAGAGCATCCCTCCCTCCTCCCCCACTACCCCATTGTTTTAAACTAATGGCATACTTGGCTACTGTAAGGACTAAAGTGTCCTCATAACACTGCAATTTCATCTTGGTTTCAGGCATCCTGAAACACTTTTTACAAGGGCCTTTGGTACAAGGCATCTCTGGGGACAGCCGACAGCAATGGTTGCCTTCCAAGAACAGCCTCATAGCCCAGGGATGGGATTTGGCCTGTGTAGCCACATTGCTTCTCCTTCTCCATGTGAGCTTGCCTTTTACAGGGCTCAAGAGCCAGGTGTCATCTCAGCCAGAAAGACAAAAGCAAACTGGAGTGTCAGTCCATTTCAGGTTTGCCTCTATCCCCAATTTGCAGAAAACCTTGTCATGAATTAGAAATTCTTGGCAACAGCACCACCCAGGGAAATTTGTAGACACAAAGGAGCCTTGCTAACCACACTGAAAGAATAAAATAGCTGGTGTTCTTTTTTTTTTTTTTTTTGTATGTAATTTGTGTGCTCTTCAGTTACCATGAGTCTATTTCTTCATTCAAAACAGGGACTTGGTGGACAAAAAAAATCAGAACTACCCTCGTTATCCAGATTTTTCTTTATAAGGATGCAATCAGTACATAAATGTACCTGGGAAAATGAAAGCACGTGGGGATACCATCAGTCACGCATTTAGCTATTCTCTAGTAGGTTAATTTCTACCTTTTATTAGACACATCTTTGTGTATATGTAGGGCTTTCTGATGTTATCCTCTGTCTGCTTGTTCTCTGTTTAGTATTTTGAAGTGGGTAAATGTTACAATGCAGATGTTTTTACTACATCTTGGGAGCTGAAAGAGGAAGTCACCATTCTTTGTTCTCCAAGAAACTCCCACTGCCCACTGTCTACCCTGAGGAGAATGAGATGTTGGGGTCCAGTCCATTTAAAGGGCAGAGCAGAAGAGGCATGGTGACAGCCAGACCCTGAAATGATTTATGTCTGAGTATGTCAGAAACCTTATGCCTTCAAGTGTGGGCTCTCCTCTCCCAGCCCAGTCTAAATATAAATGCTTGCGGGGGCTATTTGTGTCTCCACTTAGATGGGGAGAGTTTAAAGACACGGTCCCAATACAGTTTTTAGTAGCTATTCTCTTAAGGACTCTCCAGATTCCTTTCTTTTCAAACAATCCCTGTATTTTAACTTTCTGAGTACAAGAAGGCATTGCAGTCTTAATTTAATCACTCTTTGTTCCTATTGGGAGAATGTACTCTGTCCAGTCCCCCCTGGCTCTTACTGATAGGAGAACTGCTCTGCTACCAGACCGATTGGTAGATGCACCCTGTCTCTGTGGTATACAGTCAAATGTAAGTGGTTTTAA